CGGCCGCCGGAGGCAGGTGACTCGCCGGGTTCCGTTGATTGAATCTGTTGGCCGTGGGGTTCGGGCCGATTTCGGCGTGGTTTGTTGCTGGTTGGTTGGTTGGTTGGTCGGTTGCTCTTGTTGTTGTTGTTGTGCGGGTGGTTGGGCTGGCCGGGTCGTGCCTCGCTAGTGGGGTGGGGGTGGGGGCCTCGCTCTCGCGGCTGGCCGGCGCCTCCGTGGGCTTCCTCGGCCTCCGCTGGAGATCCTATCACCTCCTCGGGGGCCGGGAATGCGAGCCAAGCTCTGGTGCCGCGCGCCTCGATTTCTCTTCCGGGGAGGAGCGAAATCTCTGACCGGATTGCTTGTTCCGTTGAATTAGTGGCGACTGATCTCTTCCAGCTCAATTTCGTGCAGGTCGGTCCGAATTGGGCGGCAGGAGGATTCGCGGCGCGTCCGTGGGCGCCTAGATCGGGGGTTCCAGCTGGCTCCCCCCGGCGCCATGGCCGCTGACTCCAGCATGGGGTTCCACCAGGGGATCACGGCCGCCGCCTCGGTCTACAACCACCATCACCACCACCACCACAACAACAACATGTTCTCCTTCCAGTCGTCCAGCAGCGACGTCACCATGGGTGGCGCCGGGATGGGGCTCGTGAGCATGAGCGGCGGGCCGAGCAGCACCGCAGGCCTGTACCACTCTTCTCCAAACAACCACAGCAGCAGCAACAGCAACAACAACGGCGGTGTGTTCGGCAACGTGCCGGTGGTTGTCCAGTCAAGGAGCTCGCCGGGGGGCGCGTCCCGTGGCGCCGGCGGCACCACCGCGTCCAAGTACAAGTTCGTCACCGGCTCGCCTTCTGAGTGGAGTGACCGCGAGCTGAATATACTCAACGAAGGGCTCACCAGGTAGATTCGCCGCCCCTCCTCTTGCTGAATTCCTGTTGCCGGTACTGCCGTATAGCTTTTCGCTGATGGAGTTTGCCAATTTGGTCATGCGGCAAGCTTCTTTTCCACCCCATGTGGTGTGCTTAAGTTAATGGAGCATCAGTCAGGAAGTCTAAAGCAGGATTTGTGCAAGTGAACCTTTTTACCTTTTCAGTTTCTAGCAGCACTACCGAGCGCATCTGCTATAGGGTCGCTTTCGTCGTTATTTGGCCTACTGTGGAACTGCACTTGGTTTCTTTCGGCCATAAGCATTAACAGCCGCACTTGAGTGCTCTATGATTGTGCCGATGAGCTCATCAAATTCTAGCTGATGAATTTGTGTCAAAGGAATCCTAGAAAGAAAGAGAACCATGTCAAACGTCACCATCTGGCTTGAGAATTGCTTCTAAGAAACAATTCATTTCCTTTGAGGTTCTAATTCTTTCTTCACTGGCAATTGCAGATATGCTCGTGAACCTAATATCATGAGGTACATCAAGATAGCGGCTATGCTGCCCAACAGAACCATCAGGGATGTTGCATTGCGATGCTGGTGGGCTGCAGTAAGTTTCTTACAAATGTCTAAGTATCTCTTCTCCGTACATGTTCTGTTCTTGTATTAATGTGTGTTCTTACTGGTCTTGTTCTGTACTTAGTGTGAGAACGTCAATCTTGATTTTCTTAATAATCTATTTAGACGTGTACTAAAATTGGACAAACCTGCTAACCTCTAGCTCTACTATTCTTTTTGCCTTCCAGAGAGGAGTTTAAGCCTTTTTCGTAGGTGTTTTTATGAATCCTTACCCAAGCCAGTGTCTTGATATTCTGTACCTGTAAATACATCTCCTGCGAATAGGTAACTTGAAGGATATGTTACTTTTAGATGTTCTAATAGATGGTGAGTTACCAACACCTGGATGAAGTTTATAGGGGTGTATTTTATATAGTGGAAGAGCCCCTCCCTCGGCCTCTGGGTCCATAGGATGCACACAGCCAGTTAAGGGCGTAATGAAGTAATAATGGCTTGTTCTGGACAAAAATTCACGTCTCTTCTTTCTGTGAGAAGCTAGTGTTCATTGTGATTCCCCTAGATATAGTATCGTGATGCTTGGCATTTTGGACTCTTCCTTTTCAACTGCATGCCGTGGTTTCTGTCTGATGTATATCAGTATAACAGCACATGCACACAAACCAGTATGTTCTGATGACATGCGTTTGTTATTACAGGGTAAAGATAGAAGGAAGAAACCAGAAGGTTTTTTTACAGGGAAAAAGATGAGAGATATGAAGGTACTTTTCTATTTATGGTTCTCAATCATTTACATCACTATCTCTCCTGGTTGGTACAGCTTTTGTCTTGTGGTGTTCTCTTATTGCTTTTCCTAGTGCCAATCATGTACTTTCTGATAAGGTCTTTTGACAGCCAATGCAGGACAAAATGTTTGCATCTGCCCCGATGTCTAATTTTCACATGGCGCCTACCAACAACTTAACCCCTTTCTCAATATCGATGGAAAATCCAAACCAGCAGTGTCAAGTTCCCAAGGAAGGTTAGCTCATATCTCTAACTTCTATCTGTTCTATTGCTATTGTTTGGTATTTCTCAGTACCATCCTAACTTTGTCTGATTATTTAAGGTTTGAATCAGTGGTCCAGAATTGTTAAATAGCAATATCATTAGATTTTGAATGGTGTCAACTGTGACAAACCAGCTAGCCTCACTGTATCTCTGAAATTTTCCTGGGCTACATGGTTCAAACATCAATTTTGTGGAGTTACAACATTTTTTGTGAATTGTTCATCATTCTCTTCAGATACTCTTGTTATGATCTGATTGGAAATTGATGATCTCCTAAAATTCGAAACACACTTTATTTGCTTCATTTCTTGATGTTATGCTTGTTGACTTTGTAGTTAGTACTTAGTACAAACATCATCTGGAAGCAACCTTGCGATGCCTTCACTTGGTGCGTCTCTATATTTAGACTGCATTTCCTAGATCCCAATATAGAACTGAAAAAAAAGCAGCACAGAAGACAAGCCAGTAGCAATATTTTTGAGCCAAACATTTTTAACATGGGAGTATGGATCCCTTTTTTCTATGAGAGATGTCCTGAAGGTTTGTCATGCTCATGTAGTTGTGTTAAATTATAGGGATGGAATACTTATTATCCTTGTAGGAGGCAAAGATTTCACCACGTTGCACACACCTGCTTACATTCTCAACAAAAGTCTACTTCTCAACTCTAAACTTAGCCAAAAGTTTAATTTGCAACCTTGAACTCTAAAACTATTGAAATAGGCCACTTTTCACTTTAGGTGGTTTCTCAAATGGTTCATGGTGATGTGAATGCCACATGTCCTCCATACCACTGCCATGGATGGACAAACAAACACTATGATAAAAAGCAATCTAACAATTTACACCACTTGGAGATATGTAAATTAGACTATTTTCTATATTATTTTTTGTTATTGTGTTTTTACTTGATTGTGATTCAGTACAGCCCTTTGGAGATATCTAATAAAATGTCTTCTCCTTTAATTTGTTGTGTTTAACTATTATGATCCTTTTTCATCTGAGGGAACTCATTTATATTCATTGTAAAGCAGTTATATAATAGTAACATAGAAATTCACCATCAATCTCAGTTGTTATCCTGATTTCTTCTAAAGAGTCTCATTCTGTTCCGTTCTGAAGCAGCTCCTGTTGTGGACAGTGCAACCCAGCAGCTCCTGGAGGAAAACAATCAATTGCTTAACCAGATTGCTGCAAATATTGAAACATTCAAGGTATGTTTTATACCTCCCATTTCATGCTCTTAAACTTCATTTTATAGTACCCCAAGTATCAGTCAGGGAGCACATGGTGCCCGCCTATTGGTTTTACATCTTACACTGTGAAATTCTCATGGCTATTTGTTTTCACAACTAGTTCTTTCACCAAAAAATGGACATGGTCATATTGCTGGTATAGTAGTTAGTGCACTACTCTTAGGATCTTCAGAAAAACTGAATCACAATATTTATATAAGCATATTTGGCAGTAGCACAATATGTATACCTGATTGGTGCCGCATAACATATTTAAATTGCATGCATCATCAACATATGCTACAGAAGTGCCCTTTGTTTTGGGTGCACTGTCAATGTTGAGTTTCCTTTTTCTTAGATAACTTTTGTGTTCAGTGAAGAAATATGATGGGGCTGTGGTTGTGCCTTCAAAGGTTGGGATGGGTGTACCACATCAAAAACATCAATAATAGAGGAGAGAATGTGGAAAATGTCATCTGCCACTAAGTACTAATACGGGCTAACATTTATTGTATGTTGGAACTTGTCGCTCTCATTGCCAGCCTTCACAACTTAAAAGAACACAATGAGCGTGACGGGGGCACATTATGTTACTTATTTCATGCCTGAAGTTCTGATTTATTTGCAGACGGGGGAGAACATGGATCTCTTTCTTCGGACAAATAGCAACATCAAAACAATTTTAAGCAGGTAAAGCTCTGTAATATGTGCCATTTTCCATATATTGCTCATTGGCCTTTCACCAGTATCGTTTGCAACATATTCTTAGGTAAGGACAAATATCACTAAATATCATCTGCTTCACTTCAACATGTTCAATGTCATTTCGTTCTTCTATAAATATGAATGTATCATATCACTCACTGAGTGGCCAAAGGACCTGCTGTGGCATCGTGAAATAAGTAGTGGTGGCCATTGGAGTCTTTAAGTTTATTAAACAAATCAGTTGCTGTCCTGAGATCTACCTTTTCCTAATCTAATGATCTCGTATAATGTTCTAGAGCAGGATGTAATCATTTCAAACATGGTAGTTTACAAAATTTACATATTAACTCATAAATCATTGTTAATGTGCCAATGCCGAGTAACTAGCTTATGCTTATTCCTCTGTTTAACATTTATTCCGTATTGTTGTTGCAGAATGAGCGAGACGCCTGGCATCATGGGTCAGATGCCTCCTCTGCAAGAATTAGCACATGAAGACAAGCTTAATTCACTTCTTCAAGTTGACAGAATGGTAAGAACACACGGCCTAGCAATCGTTGTCGAGGTTCGCCATATGCACAACACTTTTCCTTGTGCTCTGGTGCTAAAAATATGTATGCACTCAAGTGGTAACAAGTAACAACGATGTCTCAACTAAGCAATTGGCGTTGTTTTTCTATCCTGAAGGTCCAATCTTACAGCGCAGCACACACCTCACATATGAAGGAAGAGCCTCGAAGCTAATGTGTGGCATGCGCCGAAAGAAGAAGGGACAGATAGACGGCTTCAGCTTCTTTCCCTCGGATCCCCACCGGTGCTGCTAGGAATCCCTACAGGCTGTTATACTGACCGAGCGCCAGGAATAGTTGCCGTACATCCTTGAGATCATTCCCTACCCTTCCAGCTGAAGCTCGGGAAAGCGTGTTTGGAAGGAGCGGATTCTGCAGTTCTGCAGGGTATGCGAGCGGGGGTTACTGCCCTTCCTCCCATCAACCACACCACCACCAACCAGATACTTGATTCGGGACTACAGCGAAGTGACTGTAAATATTGGATGGCCGGAGGCATTCCGTGTTTTGTTTTCCCCAATTGGTCGTGAATACATTTTTCGAAAGGGCTACCGTGCGTTTGCATTTTTACTTGTTCCAGATTGTACCCTGTACAGTAATGAGCCTTGCCCTGATACACGCTGTGCCGTGTTGGTGAAAGCAAAGCAGCGAGGGGCGTTCCTTTTCAAGGGGTATCCTAGTTTTGCATAAATTCCCTCGTCTAGTTTAGGCTTCTACTCCCTCCGTTCCGAATTACTTGTCTTAGATTTGTCTAGATACGGAGGTATCTAGCACTAAAATGAGTCTAGATACATCCGTATCTAGATAAATCCAAGACAAGTAATTCGGAACGGAGGGAGTAGCTATTTGGGTCATTGCCTGTTTTCTTCAACAGCTAAAGAGAAAAGGATGAGAAAAGAAAATGTAGGAGTGATGTGACTGAATTATCAAACTATTGACAAGAGTTGCACTATTTTCTGTTCTAGTAATTCTTAAGTATCATTTTTATTCCATGGCAGTGGCTCTCTATGCAATGCAGTACTATCTACACAAAATGTGAAGAAACGTTAAACCTATGCTGAATTTGTGATGGTTGTCTTCCCAGAGCTACTGCTGTTTCACATCTCACGGAAACTAGTTGAAAGACACTGTCCCAATGCTGCTGTTTCACATATTCACACAAGATGTTGGCCAACGCAGAAATTCAAAAATTGACTAACCCAAACGCTGGGGATTTCAAAGCAGAAATTCAAAAATTGACAGCACTCCTAACCCAAACACCGGGGACTTATCAGACCTACTTTGGTAGTAACATTGAACATATTCCATACCCATCCAAGTAAAAAAAAAACATATTCCAAAACCAGCATTTACATAGAGAAACTGATACTACACATTGCATGACTGATAATATATTACAAAAGGTGTGGAATTCACCTTCCCAAAAGAGAAAGAAAACTATACACTCAAAAAAAGCAAAGCAACCCATCACTCAAGCAGCTGGACAAGATGCCGTCAAATGGGCATCCATCACCTATCCTAGCAGCACCAAGTGGAACAATCCATTCCTAGCACAACACACCAATAATCCGCATCTATATGCATAGGTGGTGGTAGGCACAAGAATCTGCGTTGAAAGCTCTGGTACGCCATCTCACGATGCAACTAGCACGGAAGCAAGAACTGGCGAACACATTCCTTTCAGAAGAAGAAAGCTCAGCTGGCAAGCTGATCGGCGGGTTGAACTTCAACAGTTGGTCGTAAGTTATTTGTGGCAGAAGAACTCTCTGCTCGAGGCTGTTCAGCAATCGTTAAGTTACTCGCACCAGAACTTTCTGCAGGCAGTTCTTCAACGGTCGGCAAGCTCCTCCCAACAGGACTGCTGACGCCTGAGTCCGCAAGGCTGGCGCTGGCTTGGATGCTGTTACCAAAGGAGCGATCGGTAGGAGTCACCATTTCACCGTCCTCCTGTTGCCGCGATCCATTGAGAGCATTGCAGTGAGGACAGTAGTATGTAACGAACGCAAAGTCCTCTTTCCTCGCAAGACCTGCAAGATTGAAACGTGGTTTAGTAGAGAGAACATGACCAGCATGATGATCTACAGACAGACAAACGGTTATAAGTTCCAACCGTTATGCATATGGCAATTGCCACATATTAGCGCAAAGCATTGTGTTGGATCCTCCCCTACAAGCAGAGCGGCCACCCGTGCGAGCCATCCGCCATCATTGCCAGCATGGCCTCTAAAGTGCTCAACAGTCCGATTTGCAGTGGGGCTTTCGTTACCAGCATATATACTCGAGCCGTCTGATGGCTCAGAGGCATGGGTCGGTCCAGAGACATGGCCTGAGTGGGCTGGTTTTCTTTGCCTCATACCAGAAGCCTGTCCATGCTGATCATTACTTTTACTTCCATCCATGTTCAACTCATCTCCCAAAAAGACTCTCAATCCAGAATCCGCGCCCAGCTTAGATGCCAAAACACTTGCTGCAGCCGCCTTTGCAGCAGGGTCAAGATCATATCTCTGTATAAAACATAGAAAATGTAGTGTTTTCAGGAGGGAAAAAAAAAGAAACATGACACAGGCTTCTTTTAGTTGGAGTTGGGAAAAATGTAGTGTTTTCAGGAGGGAAAAAAAAAGAAACATGACACATAGAAAATGTAGTGTTTTCAGGAGGAAAAAAAGAAACACTAACTACTAACCAATACAACTCAGACGTCTCCCCACCCGGGAGACTTTCTTACTTCAATGAAATTATTTTATTCTTTTAGTTGGAGTTGGTGGAACCTTAGGTGGTTCTCGGAAGAAGATAGTGATTTTTTTAACCCTGAAGTCAAAACTAAAAGAAACGTATAAACTAATATTTCCATATATTCGATTGTGGTTTATTTACAATTATAACTTCCAAACCTATTCAATTGTCAATTGGGATAATTTCCCATATAAAGAAAGAAAAAGACTCAAAAAAAGGATGGGAGATGTTCCCCCCAATTGGTTAGTGGTGAAAATATAGAGCAACCCACCTGTATAAGTTGCTGGGTAGTGTAGTAATTTGTTCTCTCCTTCAACTCGTCAATCTTGGCCTGTCTTTCAGCACGGAGCTTTTCAAGAGTATGTTGGTCTCTATTATCAACTGCAAGACAGAGTAATGTCCATCACATTTTAAACATGAAGGCTAACCATATGAGCTAAATCAACTATTAGGAAAATGGTCATGGTAATTGAACGCCTTTTTCAAACTTAAGCTGTTTTATTTTAGAAACCAATTTATTAAGAGGCAATTAAGTTTGTGCAACGAGACTGCCGAAATGGCTGCTTGCCACCATGAAAAACTAAAGGGAAACATATCAGTCGTATTAGTGAATATTACATTACTGCCTTCTTTGTTATTCCATCAACACGAAAAACAACAGTTAGCACAAAAACCTACTGTTACATTTACCTATGTGAAAAACAAGAAAAGTCCCACACGAAAAATGGTGATGCAGAGGCAAGTGCACTTACGTATTTTCGTAATGCTTGTGATAGCTGAGTAGATGAGAGCAGCTAAAGCAGGAACCAAGAACATGGGCAGCACCCGGGCTGCCCTCATCTGCCAGGGGATGTCCGGGGATCTGGTAGTCATAATCGCATATCCAACAGCCGCAATCTGTTCCGTAAAATAAAACATATAACCATGTCATTGATAAAACAGACTGTTGATGAACCTATCCTAGCAACTGCCCCTGGACTGGAAGCTGAAGCAACGCATCAGGCAAAAATTGTGCGGCAGTACAGCACGATTTCATAGCAATGGTAGCGCCTCTTAACTAAACAATCGATCACTAAACTGAAATTCAAAAACAAGGCTCCAGTATCACGGCTATTATACAGCTTTGTCGTCGACACAATCGGGCCTAATTAGCAGCAGCAATGAATTGTTATAGGAGCTAATTGCTGCCCCTGGAAGCTGGATCATGCAACGGCATCAACCAGAAGGGGAAATTTCAGCACGATCCCACAACATTCTACGCGTCCGATGAAACGACCAATCACTAAACTGGACGGCCTGCACGCTGTCAAAAACATAGGATTCATCACGCGACGCATAATTCCCCATTCATCCGTCCCAGGCACAGACCTAACACGCGGTCGATAGAACGGATTGTTGGTGAACCTAAGGTAGCCGCTGCCCCTGGACTGGAAGGGGAAGCAATGCGAAATTATTGTGCGACAGTAGAGCGCAATCCAACCGCGTGCTAGCTCCTCCTGACGAAACAATCTATCACTAATCGAACACCCTGTGCCCGCTATTAGAATCCGAACACGGGGCTCGCAGGCTTGCATAGCATCTCGCAGATTCCACCATCCCTCCCCTGTACGTACGGGGTGGCGTTCGCCTACTGAACAAGCTATCGATTCGTTCGGTACCATACCAACCAACCAACCAACCAACCATGGCCATAGATCATTAGCCCAAAAAATCGAAGGAAATCGAAGGGGGCGGAGGGGGTACCTACCTCGAGCGCGGATGCGAGGGCGAGGACGTTGTGGGCGGAGCTGCGGGAGGCGCGGGCGCGGCGGTGGAGCCGGGAGCGGAGGGCCTCCTCCTCCTTGGAGAGCGCCTGCAGCAGCTTCTCGACGTCCTCGCGGCGGCCGAAGATGCCCTTCCACACCCGCGAGACGAGGCCGCGCTGCGTCCGCTTCTGCGTGGACGGCGTCTCCGGGGGCAGCGGCGACCGCGGCGACGCGTAGGCCGCCGCCGAGTCCCCGTCCGCCATGCCGATCGAACGGGACGGGACGGATCGGCCGGAAGACGCGACGGTTTTTTTTTTTTCTCTGCCCGGAACCGGAAGGGAAGATTGCAGTCGGGACGAAGGCAAGGGAAGGTGCGGGAGGAAGGAAGAGGAAAAGGGATTTGCGATTGGTTCGTGCGCTTCTGGGGAAGGGAAGGGAAGGGAAGGGAAGGCGTCGTCGTGTTGGCACAATCTACAAGCTGCTTGATTGACAGCCGTGGGTGAACTCTTTTTACATGTCTGGTTATTTCACAAGTTAGTACTCCCTCCGTAAACTAATATAAAAACGTTTATAGATCACTGTAAACGCTCTTATATTAGATGTTTGGTTGCTGTAAGTTAGAGTCAAAACACCTGTCTTAGCAAAAATGTCTCATCTGTACACTTGGCTAAACATGCGTCAGACTTCTCTTTCCCGCGATTTGGCAGCAAAAAACATGAAAAACATTAGTACCTTTCCCTTCCCTTCCCCAGATCTGGTCAGCGTTACGACTCTCAAACCCCTGGGACGAGCTGGGCAGCACGGTAAGGTTAGTAAGTTCACATCCAGTGCCCTTCAGTGAAATATGAATGCAGACCATAATACCATCATCTACAGTTACACACACACGTCGTTACGACTGCCCAAGCTCCAACGAAACAAGTTCTCTTTATATAGAGGATGGTGCTTTGTGTCATGCATGCAATTTACATCTTCAGCGCACTGCCATATGATCAACCTCATGAGTCTAACTTACCATTGTTATTAACTACAGCACAACTACGAGGCCAACTGAATGAACCAGCGACAGCTGCGGTGACATGATCAGCAGTGGTTGCCTGCCTCACTTTATATTCTGAGGTCCCTCTGCGAAGCTGGCATCATGGAATTGCCTGACACCTCGGAGCTTGAAAGGGTGTGAACCCCTTTTGTTTTGGTACCGTTCTCAAGAGAAGAAGTGCTCCAGGCTCGGGGAGTTAAATACATTGGCTGCGAGCTGCCCTCCTTCCATGGAGGAAACAAACAGCTGGCACCGAATGAACCGCTGGTAGCAAAAGAAAGAAAAAGGACCATGTCAGACATGAATAACAGACGAGGACGAGGGACACCTGTCCCAAGAGGAAATGAAGATGCAACATACAGATAGTTGGGAAATTATCTCAAGGCTTGCGTCGATGTGGAAATCTGACTCCAACTGTCGAACAAACGAAGTTCGGCCTACTTCACTGCTGCAAAAGAGTACCTGCAAACATACACATGTTTCACTCAAGAATATAGATGCATCCCAAGCAATGTCCAAATATACACTAGGGAAATAATGTTCCCATGTTAACCAAACATTGAACAGTATATTCAACCAATTTTGCAGAACCGACACGGGGTTCAACTAAAGAAACAACTTTCTATGATGTATGAACTACAGGCAACCTTATCAAATTATATGTTCTACTATATATCCATATGCCATGCATTTTGTTTATTCTATCGACAACCGTTATCCTATCAAACAATGATTTTTGGAGGAAAACTTTAAAGCGAGTCATCCATAAATATTAACATGATTCACCGCAACACTGAAATGATGTAGCAGAGGAACATGAGAAACCGGAAACAAATAAATTAGTCTAATTAATAGTGTTGTCTGATGCAAACTTGTCACCTTTTCTTTCATCAAGCCACCAGTATTGAAAAGCCCGGCTTTCTCCAGGGCCATAAGAGCATTCTCCTGCAGTTATGGATCACTCAAAGTCATACTTAAGAAGTACTCAGATTAATATTCAAAGGAGTATTAACTTAACGTGTGAATACAAAAAATTGTCTATGGTAAACTTCAAAGAAATGCAAGGATGCACCATGAAATTTCTACCTCACTCTTATCATCAAGTACAGTTTCCATCAAATAAAAATCACAGTATTTGGATATTTCCAGTAGTAGTTCCACCACTGAGGGCTTAACGGTGGCATGGTTCTGCATCAAGGTAAAGACAGATAGCAGATAGTTAGCAAAAAATATGGGAGGGATGCATATAAATACCTTAAGAACATGCAAATCGCACCTGAAGCTCCTCGGGAGTTTTCTCCTCAAATACAATACCGACTAGTTGGCAAGTGACCTGCATGAACAATATTTATGAGTTTCTGTGACACTATTAAGAAATCATATATGTAATTTATTCATTTCAAGCATCACCAGTATTAGGAATATTCTTAAAGTGTGTCAGCATATATCATTATGGGTGTGATTGGTTGCCAGAGCCAGCCGGCATCAGGGCCGCAACAAGAACTTGGCGGTTTAGCAAGGGATGGGCTCTTAGGATGCAAGAGGGGTTGCCTAGTTTACACTCTACATTTGCCTCTAAAAGTTTTGTGCTCAACCTGATCCTGGGGAGAGGTTGTTTGGTTGCCTTTATATGAGTTTGCTATCACCCATGGAGTTGACAAAGAATATTACGCCAAACTTTAGTACGGTATATGTCTTATTATGCCTTCACAGCCTTCACTTTTTCTTAGTAGCCCTTATCAAACCTCAATCTACGCTCATGACAACCTAATTATAGTTGAATAACTATCTAATCTACAAAGAGATGCCTGAGTTACATCTAAATGGGCGCCTCCACCAAGCCTGACTTAGTGACCTGGGAACTCCCAAATGGATCTTGCATCTGGTCGGCAAGGTTAATTTATCCACCTGGTCAACCAAACACTGAGATTTTTGCATCCTATGGGACTGTCCCTCTACGTCGGGTCCTAGGAACTAATCACACTCTATGGTATTCTCCCTATTTTGTTCTGTGGTCTCTTATAGTTAGTTATTTAAATCATTTAACTGTTGACATGGTTGAAATGCCAGATTTCATTGTCCTCTCAATTAGGTACCAAAGCAAGAGACATTTCCATGTGGGATGTATGTAAATACATAATATTAATGTGCCAACCATGAGCTCGGCAGTGTACGCTATGCACAGAAATGTAACCATCATAATATGTCAATAGATGTTCTATTCCATGATTACAGCAAGTGGTCACTAGGTAAGGCCCAATGCATTTCAAGCGTCTTCTCATAGATCCTAGACATTTCATTTAGTACACTGTTTAAGGTGAACTCCAACCACCACCAGCATTGAAGAAAAATATTAGTGTTATTTATGTTAAATACAATATCCTATCGGCACAAATCTTCGTTTCCGTGCATCATGGATCATCAGTATTGTCATTGCACCATGTAAGTTCCCTACATATCTGATCTTCTTGATACAACCCAGCACTGGAGAGCACCGAGCTAGAGGAAGAAAACATACCCTTCTGCAGCCGCCGAGCCGCCTTGCCACGATCTGCCGCGTCGTCAGCTGCCAGTCACAGGCAAACCCCTGTCTGTCAGCAACCGAAACCCACACGCACATCAAACAAGGGCAACACGAGCACCGAGCAGATGACCCACCGTCCCAGAGTCGCCGGCGGGCTCGGCCGGGCCGTCGGGGGCAGGCGCGGCCGAGCCGGCGGCCGAGGGCCGCTTGGGGGCGGCGGGCCGGCGGGGCCTGGG